AATGATACTGATAATGCTTTCCCCAAGCAACTGTGTCCTGGCACGTTGAATCTGGATGGGACTTGAGTGGCTGTAGTAGCTGTTAAATGGTCAATGTAAAGCTTGAATACTCTCTGTTGCCAGTGAGGGGTGCAGCCATCGGTAGCTTTGGCAGTCTGGGCTTTGGTGGGAAATGTCCCATCTCGCTGCCTGGTCTGCGTGCTTGATGCTTGGTGTTTGGAAAAAGCAATGGTTTTGCTTTGGTTCTCTGCGAGGGCATTGGTGAGACATGCATTTGCTTTTCTGATGCCTTTTTCTTTTGGTTAGTTTGATGTTAGTCTCTAAGTTTTATCTGAGTGAAGAAGATTTTTCTACTTACATGGCAACCCGGAAAAGCTGCTAGCTGGCTCTGTCTTAGCCTCAGTGTGTTTAACAGCAACGGTCTCTGTTGAATACTTGGTGTTTGCGGAGTTTCTTCTGAGATGCATTGCATCATTTTGGGAGGTTCACACGTTTTCCAGGCTGATGAACTGTGAGAAATGGCCACTGTTGTTGCTGTAGGAGAAGTCATGTATTACAACATGCTGCAGGGAGGATTACAAACATATGAAAGTATCTCCCAGCAGTTGTTTCTCTGGAAAGTTTAAACTGTGTTCCGGTACGCATACACCCAAAACGTGTGAAAAGACAGTACTTGAAGCAGTTTGATATGAAAGTATTGAGCTGGTATAGACCTCCTCATTTTTCTGTACTTCCTAATGAAGAGCTGTTGGTGTTTTTACATATTTGACCTGGAAAGATCTGCCTAACAGGCTTTCAGCTACTACCTGGCTTTACTGCTAAAGGAAGCATTTGATTAAAAAAGACACCTATTGTGCATTGTGCTGTTCACCTCAAGCTGGCAATTCCCCTGTGTTGCACCACATGCAGTGTGTGCACTGCACCACTTGTCTGTCTTTTTTTTTCTCTTCCCCTACCTGCAAAACAGTGCAGTCAGGAAAATGGCTTCTGTGGGCTTCAAAGCAAGGATTAGATGCTGCCACTGGGTCTGAGGCTGTGCAATATTTAGTTTAAAATAATAAACTAAAATCAAAATTGTATTAAAATGAACTGCCTCTGACTTTCTTCAACATTCTTCGTAGAACAGCCTTTTAATGCATGCTCTAAATAACTAAACTTTAAACACAGGTCCATCATCTAACATATTTTCTGGCACTATTGCTCTATTCACTTACAAAGTTTCCTCCCATCCCTTTTTGCACAAGTATTCAGGGTGTTTCTAAGATCCAGCTATATTTGGCAATACATCACTCGCTGTGTTACAGAGAAGTGATTACTCAAGGGATTTGGCAGAAATTAAATTAACTGAGGTCTTTAGAGAACATACTCAGAATGTCTTTTGAGAACACACTTGCTTCAAATGTCTTCTGTTGGAAAATAACATCATGTTATCTCCCATTTCTTTCTGTGATGTGGACTTTACTATATAGACCATTTGGGTATTTACTCTTTTCCTTTTTTTTTTTTTATTTTACATTTATGGAGCTTATCGTTTTCAAAAGCAAAACAAATGCTGAAGTGATAGACAGACTAATTTTCTAGGTTGCTTAGTAACCGAGATGTATGCTGTAGTGTGAAAGTACTCACGAAGTAAGGGAATATTTGCTGGGACAAACTGAAGATCGTGTGAAAGTGCACTATATAAATAATTAAAGCATATGTTTTTCTTTGCTTGTGTGAACAGAAGGATACTCTCGATCACAACGTCCTACATAAAAGATTTTTTTTTAGTGAAGTTTTTTTACACTTTGACTTGCTGAAGTATGTTGATGTGGTAGGATGTGAACTCTTCGGCTGTCTACCAAAAAAGTGCACTGCTGTGGATTTTTTGAAATCTTGAGATGAATCATTGGTCATTTGGGACTTTTTTGAGTTTGAGAGAAGGGTTGTTTTTTTATGGCCAAATTTTAAGGTCTGTTCTCCACGTTATTACGAACAAAACCATCAGATTGCTGGAGTGCTAGCACAGTAACAAAATGAGACTAGATTATGTGAGTTTATTAATTTTTAAAAGAAAATTAAAGGCTATTTGTAGTCTAATTAATGTACTTTTCTTCTTATTTCCTTTAACCTGTGTATTTATTTTTATTTAAGATTTCAGCAAAGCAATGTCTCAAGCTGGCACTTCGCAGTTTCAGGAAGTCATTCGACAGGAGCTGGAGTATTCAATGAAAGTAGAACTTGATAAGATACTTGCGACCGCACCCTCAAATGAGCTAGAGGTAAGGAGCGTGATGGAGATGCAGCTCTAAAGCGTGAAAAAATAGGTGCAGGACATTGAAGCAAATGTTACACAGGGAGACAAATCACAGAATGCCACCATCCTTATTTTTAGGACGTGCTGTGATCCTGTGTGGAAGAGTAGCCTGGATACAATGTCAGCAGGAGACTTTCAGTTCCACATAAACTGGCTGACAGAGTTATTATTAAGTGTTAATCATCTTTAGTTATTAAAGGTTCTATGTAATCTTTAATGGATTACAGAAAGGGAGGGTAAAACTGTTGTCCTCTTTAGACCAAATTCTAATGGTTATGGTTTGGACTAAATATTTGTCTTTTGGGTATCCAAGTTGGTCTTGTACCTTGAGTTTTAGTGGAATTGAGCTTTTGGTACCTGTTAGAATTTTACTTAAATTTTAGCATGTCTCTACTTCAGTGCTGATAAAATTACACTTGTGACTAAACTGTATGTCAAGCTTGTAGAAATGCTTCCGCGATTGAATAGGTATGCATTAAATACCAGCATTAACCAATGCATTTCTTCTCTGTAGCACACTAAAAAGGACCTGGAAGGATTTAAGAAGCTATTTCACAGATTCCTACAAGAAAAGGGACCATCTGTGGACTGGGGGAAGATTCAGAGACCTCCAGAAGATTCTGTAAGTTGCAACGAAGTGACAGTCTGTAGGGAACATAAAACTGATAATGGTTACTTGCAGCAAATGTGTAGTCAGCCATAGAATGGATACAACTGCCACGGTTGTGTGAAATCACACAGGACAACTCTGGGGGTTCTAACTGGAAAATAATTATTTATTGACATATGTTATATGTGTTCTTTAACATCAGGTGCTGCTTAACATGTGTGTCGAGTTCTTTGGTGTTATTTTGTAAGCTGTTCTTTGAGCAGGGAAACAAAATGGGACAGATGCCATTTTAGCTTTTGCTATCTCCTCTGGGGTAAGTGGTAACCTGTGGAAGAGTGGGGAAGTAGGTAGGACCCTTGTTGTTCCCTTTTCCTTGCCTGTGAAGGAAGGTTGTGTGTCTCAGATGAGACAGTTTCCAGCAATCCTTTCTGCTAAATAATTTGAAAGGCACATATGGCAAGTGGGCTGGGTTATATGGCTCATTTAGCAACTTCTGTAATCTGCAGCAGCTCAGTAAAAGCAAGGAATCTGAAACAAGTAGTTGACTGTGGGGATTTTTGAACATAATTTTCTAATGTCAGCTATGTTGTTATAACCTGCCACTTGAGCTGCTGCAGAAAAAGCACTAAGTATAATATTTTTTTCAGCACTGTTTAGTACTGAAATAAACACTTCCTATTAAACTTAACCTCATTGATTCCTCTGTGGCCCTAGGCTGTCTTTTGACTCTTGCATAACTAACAGTGTAGTTGTACTACAGACTCTTGCTTTTCCCAGTGTAGTGATCTTGACATATTGTGGGACCTCAGTATCCTCGCGCATTTGTGGTTTCTCTGAGCCTCTCTGTGGTGACTCAATGGAGGCTCTGTGTGCAGCTGAAAGGCAGGCTGTCCAGCTACTTCCAGAGGAGATGCAGTGCTGCTCTCTAAAGTGTTGAAGAATTACATTGTGTTAGAGCAAGTCTAGGGTTTTTCCAAGTGTTTTGTTTTAACTTCAGAAACATGTGATGTCTATCTCTTCTGTACTGTAACATTGAATGAAGTGTTGCATTGGGGAGAAAAACTCACCTTCAATAAAGAGAGCAAGGTTAGAAGTTGAAGTTCTAGATAACAGGACTTACAAGGAAGGCTGAAGAAAAGGGGATTGCTTTTAGTCTAGAGGGAGTGAGACTCAGGGGTGGTAAGTCTTTTAAATATGTAAAAAGGTAGTTGCAACAATGAAAGGAATAAACTGTTCTTTGTGTCAAGAGAACACCTGGGATTAAATAACAGCAATTTGATGTGAGTGAATGGGCTGCTTTGTGCAGAGGGAGAGCTACTGTCTGTTTTGGAAGTTCTGCACACCTTCAGCGGAAGAATGTTCAAGTTTTGTAAAGAACTGAAAATTGTCAGGTAGGATGTTGGGAGCAAATGTCAAACAGAAGGGTTATGGTAAATCACTGAAATAGACTGATGGGAGATTCCCAGGCAAGGCAAGCTGGAAAAAAAAAAAAAGAAGTTAGACAAAGGTCTAACTTAAGGTCACAGAGGGCTTGGAAGGAGAGCAAGATTAGAAAGAGTATCTCTCTTCTTCCTTATAGCCTGAACTGGCTCATTCTCATCTGTGTCCCTTAGCGATGTAGCAGCTTCTGACCAAAAAGAGAAATAATCGAACTGAAAATGGTAACACTCCTGCAAAATTTTGGCCTAGGTGAGATGAATGCATGATCTTGGAGGAAATTTTGCTTCCTAGCATGAACTCCAAATCAGTCATACTTGATAGATATCACAGAAGAAAGATGGAGAAAAAGACCTACAAGCAAACATCTTTCAATGCCTTCTTCATTTCATAATCAGTGTTGTTTTAGGATTCCTTCTATAAGTTGATAATTAGAGACTTTCTGATCTGACAGGAGGCAGGTTGAGCCCTCTTAAAAACCGAGAGCTTGTATTTATTTCACCTCCATCACCTTTTTAGTATGTCGGTCATGTAGGGGACATACCGTGGAAAGTGAAAGGTGTCTTAGATTAAACATTTTTCAGGTGACCTGCAGTGTCACTTTTCGCAAATTATTCTTTGCTGAGGGTTATGGTTCTGGAATTATTAGATAAAAATTGATTTATTCAAGACCAGAACTCCAGAATTATCAGCGTAACTAGTATAGGTAAGAAGAGTAGGAGCTTTTAGAAAGTATAAAGAGTGATAACTTTAGAAGGGCTTTCGAGTAAGGAGTGCAGCACTGAGTTCTTCGGGACAGGCATCCATCTGTGAATATATGTGGATTTCCTCTGAATGCTTTTGTGCAGCTCTAGTTGAGTTTTTCTTTTCCTAGCTGTAAAAACTCAGTCTGTTCTCCTCCTGGTCTTGTTAGGATGGCACAGAGGATGGTACACACAAGACTCATTTGGAAAGGTGGTTGGTAATCTTGCAAGTGATGTATAATTGCCTGTTTGAACAACCTTGTTTTTTGAGGTGGCGAGGTGCTCAGCTGCTTTGGAGAATCTTGCACTACAAGTATCATGGCCTAGAAAGCAATGACCTACTCTCCCCAGTGTGAATTTATTTGCCTGTGATTGTTCTGGAGAATTGCTTTGCTGCTTGATCAGTTCAAAGCACTGAGAATTCTGGCACGTGTAATCTTCAGCTGATACTGAGTAGAGATCAAAATATTGTGTTTAGTTGTATACGTGCATGTGTATATACATACAGACACACACATTTTGTTTATATATATATATAACATAATTATGTATATGTATAAAATAAAAGCACCCAAAAATGTGCTGAAGTTGCTTGTGTGTTTTTTTTTTTTCTTAACAGCTTTAAAAGGTCTATGAATAGTTTATTGCCTTTATAGGCTTTGTCTTTTAATTTTCTATTTTATGTAAGGTACTTCTGAGTTTCAGGTTAGGTGGGAAAGGTGTTTCAGGCTTTTGCCTAATGCCATGGGACTGTGCTATGCAGGAACAGAATTTCTGATCAGATTTCCTTGGGTCATCTAATGTGGTAGCTGTTGTACTTGTTCTTTGAATGTAGTTCTCTGTTTTTTTCCTGAAGCATCTACTGACAAGTGGAGGGTCCTGTCGGTAAATTGAAATTACTGTCTTGTAGCATTTCTCCATTTTTCTCTGCAATGGGAGACTTCATACCTGACCTACTTGATTTCAGTGTAATAGTTTATGCCAGTAGGCAAGGAAACTGTAAGCTCCAGATAATGGTGACAGAAGACTGAACCTATTTCACACTGTGTTGGTAAACTTCTGACTTGTTTTTTTGGTTTTGTTTTGTTTTGATGTTTTGAGTTTTTTTGCTTTGCTTCCATGTGTCCAAAGGCTTACAATGATAGCTGGCATAGTTGGGACCCATTGCTATAACAGTCTTGACAGAAGAAAGTGTACTTAGAGCCGGTTAACAAGGAGACGAGGTACAGAATGTGGACATGGCAAGTGTAATGCAATCCTGGTTATGTGGATTGCAGTGATCTGTTTGAGTTGGAAGCAATAGCAAAGTCCTGCTGGGAGGCCTCTGAGGGAACTGCAGTGATCAAGTTAACCTCAGAATAGCAATGCAAAACCTCATTGAGGATGTAGAGAGAGTGTCTGTAGCAATGATAATGTGAAAGGAGCTTGGCTATTAGAGGTTTTGTTTTCCCAGTGGTTGGATTCCTGTCTGCAGCTGGAGTTGTCATCTCAGTGAAAGAAAAGAATGCTTTTACTCAAAAGCAGAACGAATATTCAACTCTGCAAGCAGGTTTTAAGGGTTCACTTGGTGCTACTTCTAAAACTGTCCCTTGGTGCTGAGTAAATATTTCCTTGTTGTTCTGCAAGTACATACTGACTAATATGGGTGTATTCCTTTCCATGATGACAGCCCTGATGCTCATTTTGTCTGTCTCTGACAAACTCCTTCTTGCAGTAGGAGTATGCTGCTGAAATCTGTTAGTCAAACTCCCAACATTGCCTCATGCAGACTGTCCTGAAAATAACTTCTGTGATATTGTCTGCCGCACCAAAAGAAGCAAGATATGTAATCTCGGAACAATCCCAAACCGCAGCTTTGAGATCTGTCTCCAGTGAGTAACACTGGAGTCATGCATCTGTAAGCTATGTCATTCCTGCCCATTTTTGTTCCTGAAGTATTTCCCCATCAGCACTTGTCAAATCTACTGTTCCAAACCCTTAGAGCAAGAATTGATTTTTATTACGGTGGAGTACTCCTTATGTTTGTGTATACGCTCAGAGCTGATGAGGTGGTTCTGCATATTAGTGCCTACACATGACTGGAATTTTCATCAGAATTTTACTCTGAGGTTCCTGCATAAGCTAGTTCCAGGTGTGATAGTGAAGACGTAAAAGGGTTGTTGGCACTTCAGCAAAAGCAAAAGATTTCGAGGCAGTCTGGCTCTGAACTGAATGGGAGACTTTCTTCTTTTTGGAGAGCTACATTTTGAGTGATATAAGAAGAACATAGTGAGACTGAAATATTTTTTTTGGCTGTTCAGGCAGTGTCTGAACATGGTGGGTGTGACTTGTATCCCACCCAGCTAAAGCTCAAACCTAAAAGTTTTAAATCCATTTGCAGTGGAATTGACCTTAGAGTGAATGGAAGTGATGGTAAGGAGTGAGGACCTAGTGATGTTTCAGACTGTGCCCAGCACTGAGTGTAAATCTCTGTAGATACTGCTGGTAGTGAGTTGTTCATGAAGCTTTACGATGTACCTTCAGTACATTAAAATGGGTGTTTGTCATCTCTTTGTTAATGAGAATAATGGTTGTTTTTCAAGGTGTCTGCCCAGCCTGAGCACAATCTCTGCTGCTGACGAAACAGGAAGATTCTGCTTTTTGCATGTTTCTGTTCCTGAAAAGTTGTGTTCTCTGTGAAATGACAGCACTTTGAGGAGTAATCTTATATTGACACCATGTGGCTACCCTGACCCTTGGGTAGTTAATTTCAGAGTTGATCTTTGGGAGGTGAGGGTCTGTGGGTGCGAGAATTCTAAGGATCAGTGCAGTTACAGAGTTACAGAGGCAACA